TTGGGTAATCGGCCGAGCAAATGAAGCCATCATGGCTGAGATTCAGGCGACATTGGAAAGGGATTCCAGCAACGGAGGCGGCGCAGCACAATGGTCGAACGATGACACGGTAAACCTTACTGTAGTTGATATCCCACGACCGGCTCTTGGTAAAGCGATCACGATGAGAGGAATCTTTGATGATGGTCTTGGCCTCAATGCTGAAATGAAGGATGATGGAGTTCCTCTCCCACCCATTGGAGCGTCTGTCATCAGTGAAATGAACTCCGCAGTGGCCCAAGTTGAGCCTGACCTCAATATCATCACAGGACTTGCCGGGCGAGAACGCGAACACGATCTAGACAAGCGGCAGGGGGTACTGGAAAAGGTTGGTGTTGAGCTCGAGATTGACGCCTTTCTCCGACGTGTTTTATTCCCGGTTGATACCGAAGGTATTACAGTGGGAAAACGCGGCCGATTCGATCTTCCCACTATGCTCAACAGTAGCCGTGTTTGGTACCACCTCTCTCTCCATCCGACTGATGACATGCCGGAGCAGCTCGCGTCATCGGCATCTACTGCATGGTCTGCAGGTGCAGTCTCTCGCCAATTGCGAGACTGGCGACTTACGGAGTGGGCCAACCGTCGCTTGAAGCAACTCGATTTCACTGCTGATTTTGATGTGGAAGAGTTTGTCGGCCGGTATGCGCGGCTCGGTTGTGCCGAAGGCCAGGATGGTGTCGAGAACTGGATCATTGAAAGAGGCTGGAGCAATGGCGATGCTGTCGTCGGTGAACAGCGCGTGTGGATGCGCGAGGGGGCATGGTGGGAAGCGGAGAGCATGCTGGATCTCAAGCCGGAAGAGACTCACGTTAATCCATTCATGTATGGCCCTGCATTGTATGAGCCCGGCTTCACCCCAGAGGGCACGGCCATCCATGAAAACTCCAACCTTCTCGGCATGCCACCTGGCGGCGCCATGGCCCCAAGTGTGATGGGTGGTGCCAAGTCCATTGCCCCCAGTGCGCCATTCACTAATGCTGCTAATACCGGCGACTACGGCTTGGGCCGGAAAGGTGACGACAACAAAGGAGACATCGCATACTACGACGAATATGGTCGGTACGTCGGCGAATTCGACCCTGAGTTTGGTGATCCGAAGCACATTGAGAAGAAAACCATACCTTGGAGCCGTCGACTTTGGGCTGGTTTCGTCTGGGCCTTGACGTTCTGGATTCCTTCCTTCGTGCTTCGATACGTTGGTCGTATGAAACGTCCGGATGTCCGCCTGGCCTGGCGAGAAAAGGTTGTTCTTGTGTTTTTGATTCTGTTCTTCAATGCGGTTGTCTGCTTCTACATCATTGCCTTTGGTGACCTTCTCTGTCCCAACAAGGACAAAGTCTGGAATGAAAAAGAGGTTGGCTGGCACACAACTGACAAGAACTTCTACGTCGGCATCCACGGCCGTGTCTATGACATCAGCAAGTTCTGGCGCACACAGCACAGTGACATAATTGGTGAAGATACAAACTCGGACAACATGCGCCCATTTGGAGGGCAGATTTTAGATGCCTACTTTCCGCCTCCTCTTAACCGTTACTGTGCTCCATTTGTTAAATCCGATACGCTCGCCCTCCAACCCAACAACACAGACGCTATCTTGAATCCGACAGCCGAGCACAAATCTGGGTCACAGTCGTTAACCACCACCTCTGCACTCCACAAGGATACCTGGTATGAAAACAAATTCTTGCCAAAGATTGGTACATACTACAAGGGTGAGCTGGTTTGGAAAAGGAGTGTCATCGAGAAGCAAGCCAACGATGATTCTCGCTACTGGGTTATTAAAGACCAAAAGGTGTATGACTTGACCGACTATTTCCATACTTTAGAGATGATGAACAATCTCGACCAATACAACTGGCTGCCGTCATCTGTGACTGCTCTTTTCAAGGACAATATGGGCGAAGATGTCACCGACCAATGGCCGGACACAACGGACTTTAGGAATGCCCAGACATGTCTCGACTTTGTCTTCTATGTCGGCAAAGTTGATTTCCGTGATAGTCCACGATGCACGGTCAACAACTGGATCCTGCTTACCTTCACCATTCTTATCTGCGCTGTCATCCTGGTCAAGTTCCTTGCAGCTCTGCAGTTGGGATCCAAGCGTCGGCCCGCACCTCAGGACAAATTCGTCATCTGCATGGTTCCCGCATACACAGAGGGTGAGAATGATCTTCGGAAAGGTCTCGATTCTCTGACTGCCTTGAAGTACGACAACAAGAGAAAGCTGATCTTTGTCATTTGTGACGGTATGATTGTTGGTGGTGGAAATGACCGCCCCACGCCCAAGATCGTTCTGGACATTCTAGGGGTCGATCCTAAGATGGACCCACCGGCACTACCTTGCAAATCAATCGGTCAAGGAAGCGAGCAGCTGAACTACGGCAAGGTTTACTCCGGATTGTATGAGTACGAAGGCAATGTTGTGCCTTATATTGTGGTCGTCAAGGTTGGCAAGGAATCTGAGCAGCGCAAGTCCAAACCTGGCAATCGTGGCAAGCGAGACACGCAGGTCCTTCTCATGCAGTTTTTGAATCGAGTTCATCATCGCTCGCCTATGACGCCACTTGAACTGGAAATGTTCCACCAAATCAACAACGTCATCGGCGTGGATCCAGAGCTATATGAATACTGTCTCATGGTCGACGCAGATACTACTGTCAAGGAGGATTCTCTGAATCGCTTAGTCGCCGCGTGTGCAGCAGATGCCAAGATCGCGGGCATTTGCGGCGAGACTAGTCTTCAGAATGAGGAACGTAGTTGGTGGACGATGATTCAGGTCTACGAATACTACATCTCGCATCACCTAGCGAAGGCATTTGAGTCGCTCTTCGGTAGTGTTACCTGTCTTCCTGGATGGTGAGTCCTAAGTGCTTTCTCTCTCGGATAAAATTTGATACTAACTATGTTTAGTTTCACCATGTATCGCCTTCGAACTGCGGACAAAGGACGTCCTCTGATCATCTCGGACAAAGTCATTCACGATTACGCTGACAACGATGTTGACACCCTCCACAAGAAGAACCTGCTGTCTCTTGGTGAGGATCGGTATCTGACAACCATCATGACCAAACACTTCCCATCAATGTCGTACAAGTTTATTCCCGATGCCTACGCAAGCACAGCCGCCCCTGAAACCTGGAGTGTGCTTATGTCGCAGAGACGCCGCTGGATCAACTCCACAATCCACAACCTGGTGGAACTGGCAGCTCTGGAAGATCTCTGCGGTTTCTGCTGTTTCAGTATGCGATTCGTCGTTCTCGTCGATCTGGTGGGAACCCTTATCCTTCCGGCGACCTGTGTATACCTCACCTACCTTGTATACCGAGTTGCTAGTCACTCGGGTCCCTTCCCTATGATCTCTATTATCATGCTGGCTGGTGTATATGGTCTGCAAGCGATGATCTTCATCGTCAAACGGCAGTGGCAACACATCGGTTGGATGATTATCTACCTTCTTGCGTACCCAATCTACAACTTCATCCTGCCGCTATATGCCTTCTGGAAACAGGACGATTTCGGATGGGGTACTACCCGTGTTGTCATCGGCGAGAAGGGCGACAAGCGAGTCATCGCTGTGGAAGATGAGCCTTTCGACCCACGCAGCATCCCACTCCAACGCTGGGATGACTACGCCATGGCCAATAATCTCCCTGGCCGTCGCGGCGACCTCAGCGCTAGCCAGGAGAAGGTCTACGCCACCGGTCGGTATGATGACATGGCTATGGAGATGGATGACATGCACTCGCAGTACTCATCCGTTAAACCAGCCTCCACTATTCTTACCGGATTCCCGGGCCAGGGCCGCCACCACCCTTATCTGCCTCCACAGTCGCCGGCGCCCTTCGTCGGCGGCAATCTCCCTGGCAACCGCAACTCGCACATGTCAAACTTCTCCCGCTACACGGATATGCCACAGGCGGGTGCTCAGATGGGTGGCCACTCTGCCCAGGCTTCCCGGCACATGTCCATGGGTGGCCTCAGCGCCTACCAAGATAGTCCATTGGCCGCGAGCAGGCACAGCGTCGGCATGATGCAGAGCAGCGATAACCTCCTCGGCAATGCTGGCTCTCGCAGCCCCCTTCCTCAGTATCTCTCTCGACCCGCCAGCACTGCGTTTGACTTCCGTGCTGGTAGTGGGCCCGATGAGGGTGCCATTACAGAGGCAATTCGAGGTTGCCTGGCCGAGGTTGATCTGGATACTGTCACCAAAAAACAGGGTAAGTTTTGAGCTTTATTTCATGGATAACCATGCAGTTCACTAACCGCATCGCAATAGTCCGTGTTCTCGTCGAGCACCGCCTGCAAACCTCGCTCGCGGGCGACAAGCGAGCCTTCCTGGACCGACAGATCGACCAGGAATTGGCAAACATGTAACCTCTTTTCACTTGTAATATGCACTCTGCGTTCCGCTTTCACACCCATCTAGCACGTTTCTCTTTCCTGAAATGGGGTCTCGGCATCTCTGGAGTTTTCATGGGGAATTCTTTTTCTTTTTTCGAGCACAGCATCCAGCGTCTTGATCTTTGAGCTGTTTTGCTCTTTCGTCTTCACTTCATGGGATCTATCTAGTGCCCAGTGACAATAATATATGTTTTGATGATGTTGAAATCGGTCCTTGCATCTTTTTATTTTGCCTCGTAGGACCGCAGAACTCCATCTTGACCGACCTCGTGTCTTGTATTTCAGGTTGCAAAACTCGAAAACATGTCGTCTGGTTAGTTTCGGCATAGCGCTGCGTCATCGTCTCTCAATCTAAGAGTTTGTAGTACAGTAAACCACAGCAGTTATTGTATATTCCGCATCGGGATATAGTAAATGGAAGTTCAGTGTTCAACATTTAAGATTTATATTACCCAGCATGATGTCCTGTAAAGAGCGACTATAGTCTTGGAGGTACTATATCAGTCAATGTCATTGGATATCCCTTTAATCAGGAAGAACCATTCCTAGACCTAACGATGCACAACACTCCTATACTGATCCAGTAGCTTCCTGAAACCCTTCGAGTGATGGGACGTGAGATGATCGTAGTAATGATCTCTTGCAGCATCCATAATCGCCTTCACCTTCTCCGCGGGTAACCTTTTTTTTACGATCGTAGGTGTATAGACCATTCACCTCCTGCTCAATATCATATCTAGATCAGAAAAGACAGATTGAGTTAGCAAAGGTCCTCAGATCACAATGCCAAAAATCATGGATGATGCAACATACAGTTGAGTCCAGACAAGCCCACAAATGTGCCCCGGTTTCACAACCGCCATCACTAGCTTCTCAAATCGCACTAAGAAGTCTGCCGGGTCACTGGCAGTCGTATACCCCCAGTCCCGCTCACCGACAGCAGCAGAGTTCTTAGGCGGTGCGATATTAACCCCACCAAACTCAGTGCAGATCACTGGTGCACCCGGCGTATGCCGGGCACCTTTATCGACGACCACAGAGCCGGAATAACCAGAGTAGATCGGTTTGGTGAAAACCTCGTGCCCACCTTTCGATTCGAGAATCCCTGACATGCTGGCACACGCTGCACCCAGGTCGATCGAGTCGCTGTAATCGTGGAAGGTTGTTAGGTCTGTTTTGACGTGTTCCCAGCCGCAGTTGTCGTTAATTGGTCTGCTAGGGTCGAGAATCCTGTGTTTTTCTCTCAGCTGGTTCATCCATTTCCTCTCGGCGGCTGGGACACACTGAAAATGCCACCGGGTGAGCCATACTTAGTCAAGTAGTACAGGACGCGAACATGATTACGCTGCTCGATATTTTCCTTCAAGGCAGATACACCCCACGACTCATTAAGTGGCGTCCAAGTGACCAGCGATGGGTGGTTGATATCCCTCTTTACGGCTTCAGTCCACTCACTGGTAAACCGCTCAATGTAGTCAGTGTCGAACTCATAGGCATTTGCCATCTCGCCCCAAACGAGGAAGCCCTTCCGGTCTGCCCAGTAGTAGAAGCGCGGGTCTTCGACCTTCTGGTGCTTGCGACATCCATTGAATCCTAGTTTCTGTGCCAGCTCTATGTCTGTCTTCAGGGCCTCTGAAGAAGGAGGAGTCATGCCCGTTTCGGGCCAGTATCCCTGGTCTAGGAATAGCATCTGGAAATACGGCTTTCCGTTCAGTCAGAATGTTCCATCGCCGTTTTGCCAGGATAGACTGCGCATGCCGGTCGTAGTCTGTACTTCATCAACAAGACTGCCGGCCCCATCAAGCAGCCGAAGCATAGTATCATAGAGAACAGGATGCTCCGGAGCCCAGAGCGCAACACCCCGACTCCAGACTCCATCAGCACCAAACAACTCCGGGTTCTTTGTCTTCAACTTTCCCACTGCAGCTTCAGTAACCTTCATACTCAAGTCAACCGCAGCAAACGTTTTATCCCGCATACACTCACCGCCCACCTTCGCAATACTCAGCCCTCCAAGGGATACCTCAACCTCAACCTTCGCCGCACTTCCAACCCGCCGTCCGGCAACATGGACCTTTGCATGCAACTGGCCGCGTTCAATATCATCAGAGCGAAACACTGTCCCTCCACTCCCACATAGCAACCGCATAGCCGGAACACTCTCCAACCAAACAGACTGCCAAATACCCCTACTGGGCGTGTAGAAGATGCTCTCTGGCACGGGCTTCCAGAACTGCTTACCACGCGGCTGGGTCATGTCGTAGGGCGAGTCTTTAACCCTGAGAGTGAGACGAACTTCTGTAGCGCCGTCAGCCAGGGCGTCAGAGATATCTATATCGAATGGCACATGTCCACCACGATGTCCGCCGACCAGGATACCGTCCACCCAGACAGAGCACTCGTAATCGACAGCGCCGAAGCGGATGAGGAGTTTATTCCCTCTTTGTCTTTCATCGGCTGTGCGGATGTCTTTGATGCGTCGCTCGTACCACATGACCTCGTGCTCTTCGATGAGGTTTACACCAGAGGCTGGGGTCTGGAAGGCGTATGGGACTGTAATCTGGTGGGAGGGTTTTCCTTGAAGGGTGGTTTTGTGCCATTGCAAGCTTAGTCCTTCGTCCTTGTCGTCGAAGGTGAAGGTCCAGGGACCGTCTAGGGTGTTCCAGTTTAAAGAAGTGCGTTGGAAGTCCGGGCGGGGGTAGGATATTGTCATTTTGGGTCTTATAGGAGTTTAGTCATGTAGCTCAATAGGGGGTTTATGATCCCTTGAGGGTTGTATACTGATTGGAAGTTTGGGAGAGGAGAGGAGTGTTCACTCCGACCCCGCGTGTCACGTCACTCGTCACGGAGGGCATACCGAGACCACTGAAAGCTTTCCCTGAGGTTCATCTCAAGGCATGCATGCTTGTGTGATTTTTGACAAGATAGTTCCGCAATACCACTTGGATCAGAGAATGTGTTCTAATGGCAAAATCTCATTGATGATTGGGGGATATCAAAAGAGTTAAAAAACATCAACATGAAAACCCAACTTGTCGGAAAAGTCCTCTCAAGTCGATGCCAGGTCGCCCTGGTATCAACGAATCCAGACTATCCAACCCTTTCCTCCGAATGCGCATCGCGAAATTTAAAAAAAAAATAAATAAATAAGGACAAAAAAAAAAAGAGGCAGGACATGGTCAAGACCATGACTCTCTGCTCTATCGCACGCAGATCTTGGATATCTCGTTTTCTTTTCTGACGCCTTCATTGCTTGCGTTCCGTGGTATCAATCAACAAGAAGACCAACAAATAGACACCCGAAAAAAAAATCACGCTGGGAATGAGAATAAAAGCAGAAAAAAAAGACAAGAAACAAACAACTCAACCAAAAAAAGGGTATACGGCTGTAATGGATATTTTGGGTTTAACGCGGTGGCCCAATTGGGGCCGGGTATCCAGAAGTAGAATTGGAAGTGCTAGGACGACCACTATCAAAAGAGGCGCGCGGGTCATGCTTGGGCGTGATGTCACCCGGCGCGGTGCCGAAGGGGAACTTGGCTTCGAAGCGTGTGGGCCAGCCATTGCTGGTACTGCTCTTGTGGCTGTGAGAGCTCCCCAGGACGGGCCCGTCGTCTTCGGGGAGGTTCACGCCAGAGTCGTTCCATGGGTTGCGGTAGCCACTATCGCGCGACTCCATGGAGACGAGCGAGGCTTTGGAGGCGTTGCTCGAGGGGTGCTTGAAGAATGACCCCGGCGAGGCGGAGTGATTCTTGCGGCCGATAAACGAGGAGAAGGACGAGATACTTCCGGGCTTGCGGAGGCGTTCGAAGATCGATCCTCGTTCGCTGGTCTCATCGGAGAAGTTCGGTCTGGTGGGCGAGTCGGTCGAGAGGGGCGCTGGGGCGTGCTGCAGTAGCTTCGAGTCGAAGAAAGGCAGCGACTCTTCAAACGAGTCGGACTTGGGGCGTGGAATAGCACCCTTGACGGTGTTCGCATCAAGTCCGTGCGCAACAAGGCGAGAAATCAGGAAGTCAATTGCGTCCTTCAAGCCGCCGGCGTTGTTGCGCGTGTAACCGAGGACCACACGGTCTTCAGGTCCGGGAGTAGGAGACGAGGAGCCTTCATCGTGGGGAGTAGGAAGATCGGTAACAACATCCACGTTGATGTCGACTTCGTACTGTTCCTTAAGCTTGGTCCGAACATCGGCGAAGAAATCGGAGCACTTGAAGTAGTCCTGCAGTTCGACTGAGCTCTGGAAGTGAAGCTCGTGGCTCTCTGGCACCATGCCGAGTAGTGCGTCGACCGCTTGGGGGACCTGATACTCAGGGCCGGAGATGGTGACAACGTCACTGGCAAGTTCAGTGCTTGGGAACTCGATCTTGCAGTTCCATTTCTTCTCCAGCTCATCTATCTCGGTCATACGGGCCAGTAGCTCACGGTGGTAGAGGCGGTTGATGACGACCCTCTCGGCCACGTATTCGGCATCCTGCACACTGTAAGCTTCTATCATGTGATCAAAGCTGTGGGCCATGTAAGCACTTACAACTTTCTCGACCATGTCCATAATCTCCTGCTTGACAAGGTCCAAACTCTGAGCGTTGCGGGCAGGTGTCCGACAGATCACGTTGTCAACCTTGATGTCGTCATCCTCCTTGCCCATGCCGCCCCGGTCCATGGCATTGGAGAATTTCACAAAGACAGAGTACTTCTTCATGATGCGCTGGATATGCTGTCCACCGATTCCGATAATCCGCTTGTGATACTGGTCAGGCACATGGAACGAGATCGATGCAGGCATCTCCTGCTCAACCAAGTCGAGGCCATTCTTCGTCGACTCATACTGGTTGCCGCACACGTCAATATAAAAGTTGTATTCGTTGAACCCATCGAAGATGATCTGGACATTGCCTAAGTGCGAGTCAGTATCTCGTGCCACACACGTAGGATGCCGGTTAGAACTCACTCTGTCCCATGATCTTGTTGATCTTGCCGTTCTTCTTGCCACTGACAAACTCCTTGTGCTCGTTGGCTAACTCAATCTTCACCCGCATCTGGTACTGGCTCCGCATCACAAAGGGAATCTGGTTGATGACTGTCATGGCAGCCTTGACTGCATCATCGGAACCGTTGATCGTGAAAGTCAGATTGTCAAAGCTGACCTCCGCTTCCGAGTTAGTGCAGATATCCGATAGCATGGAGCGAATATCGCCAGTTGAGGGAGCACGAAGACCACCTTGGACCGGGTCGGGCATGATAATCCACCACGAGGCACTATAGAATTGACCAGCCTGTGCATTGAAAGATTAGAAGATCATTCCGTCAAGACATCACAAAGCGACACACCAGAGCCATGATTTCCCGAACTGTCCGCTCAACGTGCAGCACCTCAGTGCCTTGAATCCGAACCAGGCCACGCTGGCTACCCAGCTGCGGGAAAAGAACGTAAGACCCGTTCATCTCCATCACCTTCCGGACCTTATCCAAACGATCGAGTAAGATGTTGTCGATCTTGCTTGAGCTGACAACCACATCCTTGACAAAAATCTTCACTCCCATCACCAGTTCTCGCAGCTTCTGTTTGGCGCGAGCAATCTGCTCCGGGGACTCACCCGTAATGTAGACCTCATCCTCGCTTCGGCGGTTCGCACCAGGGGGTATATAGCCGAAAATTTGGGGGAAAGGCGGGGGGAAGTAAATGGCGGTGCCTGTAGCAGCCTCGATGAGCTTGATGTTCTTGCGGGTGCGCCCACAGACCAAGGTGTGCATAGTCGAGTCCAATTTGATGGCGTCCACATGGCGTTTGAGCTGGTCTCCAGTTAGTTTGCCGGCCTCATGACACGCGCACACTAAGACGTACTATTTGGTCAATCATGATCAGAACCCGGGTTTTGGCATGTTCCGAGCTCTCCAAATCGCCGTAAATGGCAACCCGGAAGCGTTGGTCCAAGCCGTTGTCCGATGCATAGCCATAGGACGACACTACCGCACTATCGGCATCATGGAGCTTGGGAGTCAGCAGGAAAATGTCAGCCCCGGTGTAGGCGGCCAAAGTGTCGAGGTGCTCGAGGACGCTAGCTCTAATTCCTTTCGGTGATCCATCTATAATCAGATGCATATCCACATCGACGGTCGCACATCTCTGGACGGTCGGATGTTAGCAAGGCAGATCTGTGGGCGTGAAAATCTGGTTGATGCCGGAACCCAAAAAATTCGTCCACGTACCAGCATGATCGGGGTCTCATTTAAAATTCTCGCCCGCATCTTTCGTGCCATCTCCCCATCGCCCGTGACACAGACGTTGGTCACCAAGCCGTTTGGCCGGCGTTGTAGCGCTGGCACAGCCTTGGCCTCGGAGGTCGTGAGCGTAGCTTCCACCCGTCCTCCTTTCTCTTCCGTGATCTTCCGACATAATCTCTGTAGACCCTCAACGTTGTTTGTGTGAACGGGAAGCTGGTGTACCGATGTGCCCTCCAGTGTGCCTTCCTGAAAAGTCCAGCGCTGGAGGGCACCAGGACTGGCGTGGAGCACATCCTCGACATCGGGACCGGCTAGGGTGGATGAGAATGGGACGTTGAAGGACAAATTGACTGTTGGATCGATGCTAGTTGGCGGCGTCATGGGCGGCGCACCGTGTGGTCGGCGAAAAGCCATGTCGGTGTGAGGTCTGGACATCCCGAAGGTTGGCGTCATTCGTTCCCAACCATGACGGGCTTGGCCCGTGAAGTTGGATATCTTGTGCATGACTAGAGAAATCCCTAACCCCTTGAGCGAGTCGAGGGGATAGAGAGAGTGTGTGTGGATGGATTGGGTTGGGGATGTGGGAAGGAATCAGGCCGTTCTCGACAGGGATGGGAATGACCTGTGTGGGCGTTTCGACCCGGGAATGGTGGAAACGAAGATCGATGGGGCCAACGTAAATCTCTAATATGAGAAGAAAAAGAAATCAGATGAAAATAAATTTAAAATGTGTGTATATTTCTTAAAATAAAATAAAAATCGAAATCGGAATCGAAATCGAAAACAAAACAATAGAGGGGGAAAAAAAAAAATAAGGGTGTCGTCAGTCCTTGCGGGTCTACTAAATCTGCAGTCTTTTGGAGAAAAAAAAAAACAAGAGAGAGAGATATATTTATATATTTGATCTTCGATTCTTTTTTTCGTTGAGACCTGGGACGTTCAACTATGAAAGGGTCTTGAGATCCCTCAAAGAGATTTTTTGCTCGAACCCACATTGCCCTTAATCAAGAATGCAGGATCTTGAATGTCCATTCGCAAGGGTCTTCTTGGCAAAATCTAGCCATGTTGGATTGTTAGACCCCCCGATACAGCATATCCCAACAAATATAAGCTACCCGGGAAGTATCCTCGTCACTGATCGTGATCATGAATAGGGATCCCTGAAAACCCTGTCTCATGTCGACTTTGGCTTATCAAGTATGTGAAAGTGATGGGATCCTGGGTACAAATATAATGACTATTCTCTCTCCAGGCTGTGCAATCACCTTGGCCTTTTTTAGTGCCGAGCTTCAGACACTTCGGGATCCGAGTCATTCCGTACCGTACCAAGCATACACGGGTCGATCCTTTCATAGGCTCCGGGATAGAGAACCCTGTATGCCGCCGTATCTCAGCCCACTGGCCTAGAGGCGGTGATAGGACGCCCATCACACCGGCTGGGCCGGACGCTGGGAAAACTGAGGGGTCAAGCCTGGTTAGGCAGTGTGGAGCTAA